CAAGAAATGGAAGCAACCTAAGGGTCCATCAGTAGATGAATGGATAAAGAAGATGTGGTACATATACACAATGGAATATTATTCAGCCATAAGAAGGAAACAAATCCTACCATTCGCAACAACATGGATGGAGCTGGAGGGTGTTATGCTCAGTGAAATAAGGCAGGCAGAGAAACACAAGTACCAAATGATTTCACTCATCTGTGGAGCATAAGAACAAAGAAAAACTGAAGGAACAAAACAGCAGCAGACTCACAGACTCCAAGAAGGGACTAGAGGGTACCAAAGGGGAGGGGTGTGGGAGGGCAGGTGGGGAGGGAGGGCGAAGGGGATTGAGGGGCATTATGATTGGCACACATGGTGTGGGGGGTCACAGGGAGGACAGTGTAGCACAGAGAAGGCAAATAGTGACTGTGGCTTCTTACTACACTGATGGGCAGTGACTGCTATGGGGTATGGGGAGGACACGATAATATGGATGAATTATTCAGTATTCAGTATATATTATATAGTTGGCATTCAAAGAAACCAAGAACTTCCCATTATATTTATTAATATTTCCATATACATATATTAATTTCCAGCCTTCCCACATTAAAATGTGAGATTGTTGGGGGATGGACTCTTTCAGGCACTGTTATTTTCTCAGCCCGTGGGAATAGAATAGCACCTGGCACAAATAAAGTCCTCAATAAATTTAAAAAAAAAGAATTAAATAATTGTCTGTTCTTAGCAGGCTAAGTGAGCCCTCCACTGGGATTCAGTGAGCCCTCCACTTAACGAAGCAAGTCAGGGTCCGGCTGGGAAGCCTGCCCTTCAGCGCTGACCCAAGCACTCCCTCTGCTCCTTCGGGAGCATCTCCCTGTCTTCGGCCAGTTTTATCTCCTGTGCTTCTCCTCCAAGTTGTTTTATCTTTTTTTTCCCTCATGATTTCCAGTTCTGTTTTTTTCTCTGTGCTCTGAGAGATTTCTTGTACTTGGGCTTTCAGGATACCAGCCATTGAAAGTTTCAGCCACGACCGCATTCTCTGCTGTAGTTCAGAAACTGAAAGTTCAAAACTTGCCTATTATTATTTAAATGTGCATATACCACATTAGATAATTTCAGAAGTTGTTTTTGGGAGGTATTGTTTTAGAGTGTGCATGGGCACACTTGTCTTATGTTTTCCTGTCATTTTTTAATTCAGGAATTTAGCTGTTTGCATTTCATTATCTTCAAGACACGG